CACACAGGTTTCTCATACAGCATCTCTGTAAACTACGTGTATTCAATGATTTCACTCTCTGCTTAACGCTCACACTCCCTGTGAGCACAGTGTGCTCTGATTGGTCGGGACGTTGTGAATCGCGCTGAGCTGCGTGGAGGTGTTGTTTCCTTGTTTAGCGATACACAGTGAAACACAGCCAAACTCACCCTGAGCACACACAAAGTCACAGCCATAATAAAAACAATAAGTGTGGCTTGATATTGAGTAAGAAAAAGGTTGATAAACGCTGTGAGAATGGGTCTGCAGAGAGAATTTTGCCGCGATCCCAATTGTCTGTTATCAGCCAGCAGCCAGTCAGGAGAGATCAGCAGAGCTGCATGCACTGAGTGTGTGTGTGAGGAAGTCCGTGGATTGGTCAATTTGGACCAATCAGCGGGGGCTTAACGTTACGGCTCCACGGATTGGTCCATTTGGTTCCGGGTAACGCATGACCGTATCGCGTCATAGCTCTGGGCGCGGCTACTGGCCATTCCTACGTCACAATACCCAGGAAGTAAACAATGGACAATGACGTGTCTTCAACGAGGCGTTTTGGAGAGGTATTTTCTGTGTTAGAGTTTTACTCGCTAAAGGGTTTACTTTGAGGGTTTTGACTCGGCACACCGTTTACATGCATAAAAACCTTCATAAACACACAAGGGGACGGGTAATAACCGGAAAAGCATGACATGGGAGCTTTAAGTAATCCATGTTTATGCTCCAGTTATTAATAAAGTAATATTAACATGATGCTGGTAAGAATAAGATATTACTACATGTTTTGGGGATTTTATCTTCGTTTTTTTACCTGAATTATTACGATAATGTTCCGAGTTTTAAAATCTAACAATTTGAAGTGAACCATTAAAGCCGAGTACAATACATCAAAAATATTTAAGGCCAGTAGCCAATAGCAGCAGGACAAGAAAACGATTTGCAAACTGGGCTTCACATTTTCTTCTGATATGGAGATGACACTCTGGTAATAAGTTATTGTTATTAAATTGATGCATGCAGGTAACACCGTCATGCTGTGCTGATGTGTTCAGGAGCATGTTACCTTTCTTGTTGATGCACGGCCCGGCTGATGGGTCTAAATCCTCCAGAGGGTACTGACAGAACTCAGCCAACTTGGCATTTCTCATGTACTGAAATACACGCTTGAAAGTGCTGTCATCCACATTCTGAGAGAAAACACACAGTTATTACCACAAACACACAGAGCCACACACACACACACACACAGAGCCACACACACACACACACACACACACACACACACACACACACACACACACACACACACACACACACACACACACAGCCACACACACACACACACACACACACACACACACACACACACACACACACACACACACACACACACACACACACACACACACACACACACACACACACACACACACACACACACACACACACACACACACCTGGTGCCCCACACACACACACACACACACACACACACACACACACACAGAGCCACACACACAGAGCCACACACACACACACACACAGAGCCACACACACAGAGCCACACACACAGAGCCACACACACACACACACACAGAGCCACACACACAGAGCCACACACACAGAGCCACACACACTCGCAGAGATACTCACCAGGTGGTGTTTCAGAGTGAGCAGGGTGGCAAACTGACCCGGGGACTGCTGCAGGAGGTTGGAGATGTACTCCATTAGGATGTCGTATTTTGCCCTCCTGAAAAACAAGAAGATGGGGTTAAAGGGAGTTTCTCAAGCAGAGAAATAGACAGTGAGAGGGAGGGACAAAGGATACTGATTAAATAGGTTAATACATGTTAATACTTAAAGCAAAAACATTGGCTTTGTTCCCTTTAACATCATGTGTTGTTGCAAGAGTCTATGATGTAGAAAAGACGCATTACACAGAAGACAATTGACAGTTTTATCTCAAGTGAACTCAAATGGGAAGGGGATATACAATCCTGATGTAAGGGTGCTCATGCTCCAATGAAAAAAGCCTGTTCTATTAACAGTTGTTTTTTAAAGAAATGTCAAGAAGTCTAATTACTTTTATGAAAAATGTAGCACTGATGAAGTATTTGCTTTTTTCACGAGGCAGCTTCTCTCTGATTCAATGCTGTACAGTTTGGCTGGATGTTCGTGTCTCTATTGCTGCAGGAATCGTAAAAAAACATCGTTGGACATTTTCGTCATGCTGGCGCTTGAATTTTGATGCATTTACTTTACAGAATGTGCATGAATCCTGTGGCAGCCACACTGGAGTTTTGCCGACACCAAACAATCTAAGAGTGACTTGTTTTTTTAATGTAAAGTGAAAAAGTGAAGAAGATAAATGGTTCCATATGTTTATTTTAAGATAAATGCTCATGTCAGAGTCATAGGTCAGAGTACTATGTTCACCAGGATAGCCGGTTAGCTTGCTATAGTTTTCAGGTCATAAACCTTTATGTATTAGACACATTTGACCAGATAATGACGGTAAACGAAGAGTCAATGGATCACAAAAGTTACAGCAACCCATCCTCAGGGGACATTATATCTGATCTATATTAAAGGACAGTTCATCTCACAGTTTTAGAGATATGACATGCTAGAGGAAAATTAAAGGGATTCATTCGCTGGGGAACATGATTGTCTGTACAAACTCTCATTGCTATTTGTGTAATAATTTTGTAGGGATGGGAATTTGAAAGCAAATTTATATTCGAATATTCGACCCCCAAAAAAACGGTTAACCGATTAAGATATCCTATAAAAAAAGTTTTTTAAATGTTAAAAAAAAAAAAAAAGTTTTAATAATTAATACATTATAAAATAAATATAGAAACCAAAACAAGTTTTCTTTGATATTTTTCTTAAGATATTTAAAATGGCACTGTTGTATACATTTAATTAATCCATTTGACAATATGTAATCAACTTAGGCGCCCTTCCCATAAAAAATAAAAAAAAATCATTTTGAATATTCGATGAACCACTCCCTAGTTCAGAGGTGGAGCGTAAACAGACCTGTTGACGTAGAAGCGTTTGAGCAGCAGCAGGATGGAGTGCTGCTGCTGTCCTGAGATCACTCGAGTGACGTGAGACTGCATGCTGACCAGGCCGTGTTTCACCAGAGCCTTCCTCATGTAGTGCAGCTTCCGAGCATCGATCCTGTTCAGACACAACACTGCCCGTCACAGGGGGAACACGCAATGTGCAATACAGACACTTGTTTTGCACTTTGTGCTGTCCAATAATGACTTGTTATGTGAAATAATGTCCAAACATTTTATTCATTTTTATAATACCTGAACACATTAATGTGTTACTTACGTCACATCTTTAGTTTCTTTCTTCCCCTCCGCTACCGGCCTCATACACAAGGCCCGCCCCCCCACTGACACTTTACCTCAGCCACAACGCAGACTATATGCATTACATTAATGCACACAATGTACAACAATATGTTTGCTTTTTGCCGATTTTCATTCACTATTTTATTCATTTTTATTCCGTTCCATTGCAATGTAAATATTGTTATATTTTATTTTACTATATTTTTTATTATTTTTTATATTTTTCTAGTTCTCTACCTGTGTTTTTAATTCTTGTTTTACTTTTATGTATGCACCACGACACCAAGTCAAACGTCAAACGTAATAAAACTGTTTCTGATACTGATTCTGATCTTTAGCCATGGGTGTGTAAATATTTAAATTTTTACTCAATAAGTAATGTGTGCTTTTCCCCCTCTATATCTAATAAGTTAGCTTACTCTTTAATATTGCACTCCTTTTTTTACCTGCCGGGCCACTTTTGCTGTAACACTGTACATGTTCTCGCTGCAAGACTAATAATAATAATAATAATAAATTACATTTGTATAGCGCCTTCCCAAGGCTGCTTTACATGGTGTGAACAAAATAGCAGCAGGAGCTGAAGCAGGGGACTGTGATGGGTCAGGGGTCAAAGGCCATGGTCATGACTAATAAAGGATTCTGAACATCCGAACATCCGAACTTCAGCTTAAACACGAAGCACAAGTGACCCCGAGCTAAATGTGTGTCCCGTACTTGAAGGAGCTTCCGTGCAGATCCTTTTGAAGCTCTCCTTGCCATCGAGCTCGGCCGACTCGTTCCAGCACGCAGTAAGAGTCGTCGTTGAGTTTCAAATCAGGATCGCTCTCCGGACCAATCAGGGTCCTGAATCGTAGCGTCTGACACGCCACCACGACAAGCTTTCGGCCATATCTGAGGAGGGACAGGGTGGAAAGAAGGAAGAGAATGAGATGAATGCACAGTTGCACTCTGAAATTGTATTTAAGTCAAAGTCAACTTTATTGTCAATCTTTCAGTTTGTGTGTACAGAGGAGAGATCGAAATACCGTTTCCCACAATCCTGAATACAAAAACAAACATGTATATACCTATATATACACAATCAAAGACACATTTATACATATGCACACAGTAAGACCTAAATAAAAGCACAATAATCAATATATACAAAAATAACAGTCACTTCAATATCTGTGAAAATGTCGGTGAATACAATGAATGACTTTAAAGTTAAGCTATTAGTTTTGAAGGTAAAAAAGAATGAGTGTTGAATTAGTTGAATATCAAACAAACTCTTCTTACTGTTCCAAAGTCTCCTGCAGGTTGAGTAAGGGGGCGAGGGACTCGGAGCGGACATTTTTAGTGATGTCTTTCCTCTCTTTGAATAATACACAGGAGCCCTGAATCCCATTCTTGTTTTCTAGAATCATATCAACCGGGTAGACATCTTTCCTGTCAGGAAAATTATGTCTTGTTTCAATGCCCGTTTCTGGGTCGATGCCTTTGAACCTGAAAACACACACGGATGGAAACACAAAGTCAGGACGTTAAAATAAAGAGTTAACAACAACAATAACATATCATTTAAAGTAGTACCTACTATTTCTTAAACGTGAATTGTAAAAAAAAATACCATACATATCAAACACTCATAATGTCCCAGGCGCCACACTGCCAGTTCAACTAACAAATAAAAGACTATTTAACTCGTCTTCAGGGATTTGCTACCATTTAGCCACACGATCATTAATGTGTGGAAGCTGATGTTGGGAATAGAGCCCTTTCCTAATTGCTCTTAACCCGTTTCCTCCAAATGTATAGAACATATAGTCCTAAATCTCTAACCAATAACTGCACGATTACCCTACATATTGAAATAGAAAATGTTGTGTTGTGAATGTTTTTTATGTGGATCTGGTCAACTAAAAATACTCCTTAAAGCTATCAGAAATTACATTTGAAAACAATGCATTGCAATAGCTACAGACTTTTGAGGGAACTGCACTCAGCTGATCTAAAGAGAAGTGCTTGTGGTCATTCAACACAGTGGAAAGTGTTAAAACAACACACCTCCCAAACAGATCTAAAAACATTATAACATCATAACCTTTATTGAGGTTTGTTTTTGTTGCAGATCTGTTGCATCAGACTGCAATCATTTGACATGAAGAAACATTTCTAAACTGCCTGCTGAGTTTCTCTGTAAGAACATCGTTCCAGTAAGATGTTAAGATAAGATGAATAAAATACAGATTGACATATTGAATTGGAGTCAGTGAATCTTGATAGGCCAGCACACAACTAACAAAATGTAAACAATGTAAATGATTTACATTATTCAGCATGGCCTGTGAATTATATTTAGGACATTGTTTTGGGGGCAAGTGGGAGAAATACTCTTTATTCTTCTTTATTTGCTTTAAAGTGTGCTGAACCTTTCATTATAAGCAGAACTCACCTGTCAAACAGCACCACATCGTCTCTCTCCTGCGGCAGCTGGTACAGCTTCAGCTCGGTGTTGTTGATAAGGGACCTCCAGACAAGCTCCTTGGTGTGGTCATCAAGTTTCAGGGGAAAAGCAGGCTTTCTATTCTCTAATCTTATCCACAGAGAGGGGATAGTTATTCCGTCCAGTCCTTCCAAAGCCACTTCATCCACAACTATAGTCAACGGATCCATGATGCTACCAACTAGCTAACGTGCTAACATGCTAACTTAACAACAACCAGCTAACTGGCAGCTTGTTTGGTTTGTTCCGGGTTTTTAACTCACCGGATGTTACACATATATTATCTGCATACTGAAGTTATTTTATTCTCATACGACTGACAGTTAATAATAACCAAATAGTAAAACGTGTTTACAACTGCGTCTTCCAACCTTTATAGTCTGTGCTTCCAACTGGTGACTCTGTACGTGATTACGTCATATTTTAACTATGACCTCCCGTTGACGTTACGTCTCTGCATTAACAAACCTTATCCACAAGGTGGCGGTGAAGTAATATCCTGACCATGGTCCTGACATGAGCAAAATAGTGGAGGTCTCTTTTAAAATTATTCAGAGATATTGCCCTGCTAATTTTTTTTTGTTGAAAAAGGAATAACAATGCACATTTTCTCCATTTTAAAAGGCTATACAAGTCATTTAATTATTCATACTATTGACTCCGATTTTATTTGGTTTAAAAAATGAAACAATACATGAAGAATATCTTTTCTTAAAAACAAAAGGGCAATGAGGACACTGAATTTGTGCTTTTCATGTGATGCATTTGTATAAATTAATAATGTTTGTATATTTATTATTGTTTAATTTTGTATTGATATTACCAATGTCTTCTGTAGTTCTTTTACTAACATAGAGACATAAAAAAGGTGGAGTTCAAGTGCAGCTTCTGGATAATCCTCATGGATGCATAAAAAGAGACTATTATATTGCACAGAAGATACTTGTGTGCCATATACACTTGCTGTGTTTATTTACAGTAGACCTACTGCTGAAAATGTATATTCAGTAACTACGAGCAACTGTGCTAGCTTCTCCGGTGTCTCTTTTATCCTGCCCAGTGGTAGAAAGTAACATTTATTAACAACATGCTTTACTTAAGTATATAACTTTTACAGGGGTGTCAAACTCAAGGCCCGGGGGCCAAATCCGGCCCGCCACTTAACTGTATGTGGCCCACAAGTGCTTGCAAAGAGTATACTACGTTTATCATAAGGTTACGTGCTGCTTTACAGGAGCACGTTGCCCATAAACACAATGCATCTCATTTTGTGAGATGCGCACTGAAGAGACTTTCAATTACTTGCAATGATTTTCCCTAGACTTCTGCTTTCAGACGTAGTTAATTATGAAGTTATTATCCTATCTGATAATGATCCAATGCAGAGGAAATATTGTAGAATACATTATTTTATATATATTTATCTATGTATATTTATATAGTCTAAAAGTTACCACTGAGTGCAACCATCATTCAAGTGTGGCCCACGAGGAAATTTAGTTTGGCACCCCTGCTTTAAAGCAACATAAAGATTCCACTCAACTATATTTACTGGATAATATAGAACTCTTTATAGGTATTGCTTCAGTTTTAGGGTATTGGTATTGTGCACTTTAATTAGATCAAAGCTGCATTTAATGTTATAAGTAACATTAACATGTGCTTTTCCTGCTTTGAAAAGTCAAAGTATCTGCAGTGAAAAAGTCATAAACGGCAGGAGTCATTGGCTTTATTCACGGTGAAAGGAAAGCTTATAAGGCATGTGTGGCATTTTCTAAATAAGGACAATTAATTGAACAGTGACAAATGCAAGGATAGGAAGTGTTTATTCAACATCTTTATTATGAAGTACCTTTTTAAAAGAAATGTACAAGTGGAACCAGCACAGTGACATCTTGGCGTTTACCTTTGAAAAACAGAAACACCGTGGACTTGTGGTGCGGGTCTGAAGACACGTATGAAATGATAATGTACATATTTACAGCAGAGGATCTAGAACAGAAGTGAGCAAGCATGGTTGCAGCTAAAAAAAACAACGGGACTGACTGAAAATAAAAACTTAAAACATTAAAAATCATGGATTGGTTCAATAAAGATATTTTTGAAAGATAACATGATAAAGGCACTGTGTTTCACACAAATTGACAACACAACAGTTGTTTGTTTTGTCCATCGAATCATAATCACAAGAAACAACTCTTAACAAATGTCGTCATTCAACTGTCCCTGGGCGTTCTAACAAAACAGATCAGATATATCAGAGGGGCCGAAGCAGGTCGCACATACACATTAAAACAAAATAGATAATTCAACTCGTCAGGAAAACATTCCTTATAAAGAACATGCTTGGTGATTATTAAAATTACATTTTTTTATAAACAAATACATATCTAAATTTTAAATTCCATATTGAAGGCATAATGGGTTGCAGTGAGGACAAATGTGTTTTCAGATCCTATGTTTCCCTTACTGGGCCCGAAACGTTGACATTCCTGCGAGACGCACGTTAGGACCTTTTTGTTTGATGAACACATTCAATGAACTACCAGCATAGATAACACAAAACACAGGCTGACGGTTTGAGATCAGCGCCGAGGACCGACACGATGACAGGGCCAATGAGGGGACTTCCTTTGAGGACAAGGTAGGAAAACGTTTTTTTTTTTAAAAAGTCTTAAAAGTCCAATTACATTCAGCTTACACAGCTGGTGTGAGATCAGTGCGCTGTCTGCTCGGTGCTTTATGATATTCTGCAGGACTGAAACCATGGGAGAGGTTTGTAGGAATAGTTTGGCATTTGGGAAATCCACAGCTGAGTTGGACTGATACCATGTTTGTGTTAAATCTGTAGCTACAGCCATTTAGCTTAGCTTAGCATAAAGACTGGAGACAGAGGGGAAAAGCTAGCTTAGCTTTGTCCAAAGAGAACGAATCCACGTTCACCGTAAAGGCTCAACTTGTTTAATCATAACATTTAGTTATTTCACATCTTTGAACGGATTAAGCAATTAACGGGAAAGTATTTTGGTAATGATTGAACATAATTTGTGAGCAGAAATGTGAGGAAACTTGTTTGAGTTTCGAGCAAATTTGCCGTTACTATTGGCAACATGTCCGAGTAAACTAAAAACGTTTTCAACGATTGGTCACAAGAAACAAGTTATTTTAAAATATTTTTACAGACAAATTGATCAATCGATAAATGATATGGCAGATAAATCAATAAAGAATATGTGGTTACAGCTCTAGTCTGTTCGATTTACAAAGACATGCTAGCTTTTCCCATCTGTTTGAGTCTTTATGCTAAGCTAACCAACTGCTATTTGCGGCTTTATAATTGCCGTACAGACATGAGACTGATATACATTTTCTCAACTTACTCTCCGCGAAAAATGTATATAATTCCCCAAATGTCAAGCTCAGTGTTAAGGGTTTAAGTTGGATGATCTGCAAGAGGAAGAAGACTCCCTTCTGCTCATGATGAACAAATACATTTGATGCTCGTGGACTTGGACTGCACAGACACACGCATGGAGGCATAAGGGACGCACCGCATAATGCTCTTTGGCTGAGTTCAGGCATACATAGCACAGGCTTTCACACTCACCCACACGTTCAGAATACTCTAGATTGTAATGGCACTGGCCATAAGGCAGGCAGCTAGACTGAGTGCGGAGCTACGTACAGTGTAGCAAAAAAACATGAGGTGGTGACGGTGTGATACTGTGGTCAGAGGCGGCACAACTGGAGTGTGCACAGCTCTTTTTCATTAGAGTGTATACAGAAAAAGCCTATAATTAAAACCCATGGCGCAGGAAAACAGAAGTACACACTCACAGGTAAACAGTACAGACGTGAGCTGCAGGGGTGCATCATAGAGGAAAAACAAACAAAAGGCTGCCCTGAAATGACTAATGAACTAGCTTCAAAACATACACAATAATACAACATTAAGTTTGAGATATAACGAAATTAGGCTGCATTTATAAGTAATAGTACCTGCCTTGTACATACACAATTCAAATAAAATGACACAAGTAGCTAGGATACTTGTCTTATCAAAAATATGTAGCTTTGGTAAACAAGTTATGTAGAGAACTGTTGTTGTGTGGATGTGAGAGATCACTACATGACATCTAGGAATCAAGGGTGAGAACGTTTTTGAGGCTATGAAGTCAACGAGAGGAGGAGCAGGCTTAGAGTTCCTCCTCCAATAAAATCCTCTGTCCTCTCGTCTCCAGCTGATGAGGAACAGAGACAGCGAAAAGGCAGCGAGACTCCCGAATGGAAACAAAAAAAAAAAAACTGCTTTCTTTACCGTCCCGAGCACCGATTGAAGAGTTTCCGTGGTAATGTAGCAGCATCGTAATGGTCTGCGGAGGATTAGACTCCTCCAGAGCCGAAGTGGAAGACTACTTTCTCTTGTCTCCTTCCAGCAGTCCCCTCACCCGTTTTCCATCCATCGCAGTGGAAGACCGGTCAGATTTTTATTTTTTCAACAGCGCTCCTCGAATATCCACAGTGGAGACAAGACAGGTGAAATAACTTATGTTCCTTTTTCCTCAGCTCCTGCTTCATGTGGTCTTTGATCCAGGCACGACATCCAGATAGTCCATACAAATAACCGACCTCCTTAATACTCGAGCGTCTACCATCTCCACCCCCCCCC